ACGAGGGACTATTTGGGCTTGTGCCGAAGACTTGGTGTTGACGACATTCCCATCTTCCCCCTCCTCTTCGTCTATCCCCTTCCTCTTCGTCTGTGTATGGTACGGGCTGGCGCTGCCTTCCTGTGTGAAGCGCCAAGCCCATTCACACCATGTAACGATGATGATGATGTATGTTCAGGGCTGCATTACAACATTGATTGTTCGGATCACTGGTATCTAAGTCTTCCGTTGTGCTATCTTATACTTTGTATTGAAAGGTCGGTTCTTGTTCTGGTTTGCACGTTACAGTATGCAACAGACTCCCTCTGCAAGGGACCAAGCATCATCTGATAGGGATACTCCTAGTTTCTGCTGACTGTCCTGGCTGTTTGAAAGTGCACGCTGGGACACATGGTGACGATCTGATTTCCATCATCCTTTTTGAGGGGTAGCCGCATAAGGGAGGGGAACGGCATCAAGCGTGGGCGTAACTGAGAGTCAATCCTTACATCGGAGGTGATCAATGCAGTCAGGGGCCCCTGGGCCATAACCTGCAGTCGTAACTAGGAAAAGCACATACTCCTTGTATCTTTCTGACTTGCCGATGGAATAGGAACCTTAATGACGCTCCCTGGAATGTACACGTAGGCAGGCAAAAAAAAAAACGAAGAGACCATGTCACCCATGTTGCATGAAGTCCGTGAAGGTCGGCATCTTCAGCAAGCTTCGTAATGGAGGATTCGGCATTTCTCAGACAACACACACACACTGACAAAGACATCCTTTTTTTGTGGAGTTGTGTACAGCGAACACAATAACACACACACACAAACGACACACACACACACACAAACAACACACACACACACACACACACACACACACACACACACACACACACACACACACACACACACACACACAGACCAACACAGAGGAGGACGCGGAGGAGGCACAGCAGGAGAGAAAGACAACAAGCAGGCACAGAGGTGGAGAGGGAAATGTGAAGGACCCTTAGGGGCCAAGAACCTGGGAAAAGTGGCATACTTATGGTCACCCGCTTGGCATGGATGGCGCAAAGGTTGGCATCTTCAAAGAGCTGAGTAAGACAGACTTCAGCAGCCTGAAACAGATACAAGGATGACGAATTGTCCAGAACATAAACATGAGTAAGAAAAGAAGAGAAAGAGAGGAGCTCAAGTGGGAGGGGGTGGCGCCAGCAGGAGGGTGAGGACGAGGAGGAGGAGAAGGAAAGGAAGAAGAAGAAGAAGAAGAAGAAGAAGAAGAAGGAGGAGGAGGAGGAGGAGGAGGAGGAGGAGGA